GACCAAACAGCGCCGTACGTCTTTTAGTGACCGCATTTTTGAGAGGAAATGCCAAACGGCCGCCATCTTCGAGGCTATTTCTGAAGAAATCAAAATAGAAGAATGCTTTACGCTAGATGATGTCCACAACAACTTCTGTCAGTAACGACGTCTCTCCCCCCCCCCTCCACCCCATCCCGGCCTATTCACGATTGACATGACCGTAGACCACAAGTGGTTGACGTCGCGCTCCACCCATGACTTCTACACTGAAGCTGTGAGAATTCAAAAACTGCATTCCTTTTTTGAGCAGATCTTTTGGCTCATGAACCGTGTCCACCCGTGCATCCTGTGAGCCAGATAAATCCATGCATCCATGTTCTCATTTAGCGCAGTTCGGCTTGGTGGGGGCACTCCAATGGTAGTCAACAGAGCAAGTTCATACCATTCGTGAGGACCTGCAGATTCTTGTGGGTCAAGTCACCTTTATCGTTTCGCAGTTTTACAGGCGTTTACAGGCAGAAGGGGTCAATCAATCTGGACAAGCAGAACGAACCAGTGGAAGTACAAAATGCTCCTCCGAAGCCGAACAGCGCCTGTCTCTTTTCCATTTTCAGTCCCTGTGCGCTCTATGCTCATATAATACTCAGGACCAGGGCTCTTATTCAAGACTCTAATCTGCTTCTTCTTACTCTTTCTTAAAATCTCGCTTACCGAGTGATCTAGTGGTTCCTGTCGTAGAATCGGCAAATCAAGGTCCTTGCCTTCAAGAGTTAGCTGCGAAGTACCGTATCCGTTTTCCATCGTTAAAGAAACAGTACTCTAGTCCATCTATCCATCTCTTCAAGGTAATCTTAATTTGAAAACCGAGAATCTCTCGTTTTTTGCCTTGTCTCATTACGCGCGATAAACAATTTCGTAGGGAGATCGAGGATGAACTGGCGCTATCATCGTTTTTTTTCAGATGTTCCATGGAATACGAGATCGGGTAACGTTGGCCACGATCTTGTCGACAACGGTAAGCATCGCTATGATGGCCGTTTGTGGAATCGCGGCCATAAAGATTTGTGGTGACATGAACGATCTCTACCATATGAGCCTGGAGGAAATAAAGGCCTTCAAGGTAGCTCTCTATATGACTCATCGAAATTTTTGCTAGTAAGGCTTCTGAGGGATCATGAGTTTGAATGCGTAGGACCTGATAGTTTGACAGTCATCTTGAGAAGGTAGCCATCTATGTGGAGAATGACAAAAAAAAGAAGCAAAGCAGTCAGAAAAAGCCTTTACTCTCTACGGCGCGTACGCGTGCAGTCAAAAGGAATTCTTGGACGAGTTTTCCTCTGGCATCGTGATAACAAACTTTCCAATAGTCGTCTCCAGTAATGTACGGGGGGGGGGCAAAAAAAAGACACTTTGGCCGAGTCACATATCAGTAAAGTTTTCGCAGCCCAGAGAGAAGACGTGGATACGAGTACCAGGGCGGAAGATACCCAAGATGTTCCTCGATAAGCAGGAGCTGGCTCTCGCCCATCACCTTCATGTACACCAAATGAAGCCATCTCCAATCGCAGCCTGACTGGAGAAGGCCTATGGAATTCACGTCACCTCCAAACAGCTGCGAAACTTCTTGTATGGAGTCACCCATGGACAGCTACCTGGGGACCAGCACTCTTGATCTGGAAGACCTCCAACATCGAGCAGCTCGCCACGGTCCAG